ACCTGGCGCCGCCCCCTCCCCACTCGTGGGCCGCCAGGAAGTTCGCAGCTTTGCACCCCAGGGACCGCGCGCTGCGTGGGCAGAGTATCCCAGCGGTGGGGGCAGGGACCCTGGGACCAGCTCTCGGGCTTGGGGTCTAGAAATCACGTATTGCTTAGCCCTGCTTCGGTGTCTCTCGGGCCCACGCATCACCACTCCTCCCCGAAGAAGTAGAAAGCAGGTGGCAGCACTGGGGTGCGCGCGAATCCCAGGGCAGTGACAGTTAAGGCACTCTCGGATTGGCGACCATTCACTGCTACTCCCCCCGCCAACTGGCCCACGGGGTGGGATTTGTTTTAGGTTTGGTGCTTTTAGCTTGTGCTCTTGCCCCAGGCCATCAGAGACTCCTTAGGGACATCACACACTGACTCCTTCCGAAGGAATGCTTGGAGGATGCCTCCGGTTGTGTTGCCAGCATCTTTCCCAGTGTACTTTGCCCTGTTTCTTTACCTAGTTCCTGTGAGCCAGCCCTGCGCGGAGAATATGCAATTTACTGGATTCTTGTACGCTTGAACTAATTCCTCAGAGTTGAGGCCGATTTTCTTATGTAACTTTGTGGTGGCTGCATTTTGTGCAGCTGATGCCTCTCGAATAGGATTGTGTGTGTGTGTGTGTGTGTGTGTGCGCGCGCGCGTGCGCGCGCGGGTTCGACCACAGTATGTTGGTAAACTTAGTGATTACGGCACTTAAGAACTACCTTGAAATGTCCAGCAGACATTTAGGAATTGTGTGTGCCCCCGCCCCCGGTGCCCTGTAAGCCATAGATCCCAGACGTTTTAACCAGTGACTTATGAAAGTGAAGGTCCTTTGGGTTGGCCGTAGTGAATGGTGATAGGAACACATTATGAGGTTTACTTTTATTTGAGGTTTAGATTTAGACTTGCCAGGTGATGGAAAATTTTACAGTGAGCCTTGGACAGATAAAAGTTTAAAATCTGCCTTTGTGTTTTCATTATGTCCTCTTAGAAAAAGGTTTCCTTTTCATAGCCATATCAACTGAGACCTGAAAGATACATCTGTGTGTCCTAGAAACTCTAGAAAACACTGTCAAGTCCGTCTTCTTGACATAAGATTGGAAATCCTGCATTAGTCCTGGTGCTTCTACTTCTTTGCTTCCGGAGGCTGGTTTTCCCTGAGGCCTTCATGAAGGAAGATGTGGAGTTAAGTCACTTCTGCTGCAACTGGGGGAGCCTTTCTCCTATTGGCTCTTTTGCTATATTGTTTTTTGGCCACAGCTATTTATATTCTGTGACATTGACTTCTCCTTCCCATATTGGTGTCCTGCCACTCAGCTGAAAAAGTAGCCCATCTGAAAAAATGAAAGCTGGTAGAAATGTTTTACTTATATACTGAACATTACAATGGGAAAGTAAAATCTGATTTGGTTTTGTTTTTAAAAAAATTCCTAGTGCATATTGAATACAAATGTTTTAGTAGGGAAAGAAGGGTTAGTGGTAACTTGCCTTAGAGAGGGGTGAATCTGAAGACATCTGGATCTCTGCCAAGTCGCCCCTGCAGTAAGTACTTAGGCTTAAAGTTAAGAAGGCAGGATTTCTTTCTTCATGTCTTTTTTAGTGATCCTTTTCATTGAATTTTCCAGTACTTTGCTATATGTAGCATTTACAGTGTTAAATTTGGGTAGCCATGAAATTTTGTACCAGAGAAATCTTTGTAAGAATAAGAGGCTAGGGAAAGGAAGTTGGATTCAATCTGAGGAAAAAGTAGCACATACAAATAAAATAAGAGTTGGATAGCATGGTCAGCTTCTAAATTCCACTCTGATAACTATGCATGAGTCATGCATCCCTTCCTGGCAATAATTTGAATGCAGGCAGAATCCAAACTCAGTTTAGATTGGAATAATTTATCACATTTAGGCATACTGAAGGAAATGAAAGATGCTATTAGTACATGAATTTGGGAATTCTGTAGAACTGTTTGTACATTCCAAAATATATTGAACTAAAAGCTTAGTATATGTACTGTCTACGGGGGCTGGGAGTGTAGCTCATTTGCAGAGCTCTTGCCTGGCCTGCTCAAGGCCCAGGGTTGGATGCCCACAGCAGGGAGACAGGTGGTCAGCCTCACCAGCCATCAGAAAAATTAATGTATGTGTGTCCTGAGTGACATATGAAAGTCCTGCTGCTTGTTCTTTTATAATATCTAATTGAGATCAGCAGTATGATTTCAGTTTTAAAGTAACCTAATATCAGGGAAAAGTCTAGGATCAAACTGAAATAGCAGATCATTGAAAATTATAGTCGCCAGTGCCATCCTGATTGAAGGTATGTCTGATATTCACATCTACCCAATTAAGTGTAATAAATCATTATTTTCCACAGTAAATACCAAGAAGTGTTTATGAATTAGAATTGCCAAAATACAGATTTAAATAAGGTTATTTTCCATCATTGCAGTTAAAAATATAGGTACAGGGCTAGGGATGTAGCTCTGTGGTAGAGAACTTACATAGCATGCACAAGGATCTTTGTTCAATCCCCTGCTCTGCAAAAAATTAAATTCAATAAAATAAATGTTTTAAGTACAGCCGGAAATCCTTAGCAGGAGAAGTGAATATTCACTTGATTTTTGTATTTCAAGTCCTAGCACACACTAAAGATAGGCACCTACCACTCATGTACTGCAGACTTGCAGATGTACATGTATGTTAGAAACCTGTGTCTGTGGGTGAGGTGAAATGGGGCTTTCGTCAGATTGTGCATTCCTGTGGGCAGCCTCTTCACAGCCAAAGCTGGGGCTGGTGCTGGCACAAGTAGGTGTCAAGTACTTCTCGGGTTAGGGAATTGTTTGTTTCCACACTCCCTGCCTCAGCTAGGGACCACATATACCCTGCCCAGTTTTGGACAGCATAGCCTAAGCTGCCTCTGAATTCCCAGGACTGCAGTCTGTTGAATCTCCCAGCTCCAAGAGGATCACCGTGAGTTCAAGGCCAGCCTGAACTACATACACGGTGAGATCCTATCTCACAAAACAAAATGAGTTTGTCTGTTAGCTAGTAATTCAGAGCACAGAACATAAATTTTTCCACAGAAGTTTGCCAATCTTGGCACAGGAGTATTTGATAAGTGACTATTTCAGCACCTGTGACCCGAAGAAGAGCAGATTTAGTTGGAGAAAGGCTAAATCTTTATGTATTACCTTTTTAACAGGTTGTAAGTGGAGGAAAGGTTTAATTTTTGGTCTAATGTTAAGTAATTTGGTTAACCTGAGAGAGCACATCATATGGAGCTCTGAACAGCTTTATTTCAGTACTTTTGAAAAGGAAACCATCTTTTTGTCATAGAGCACTGTTTGTGTTTCTGCTCTTCAAAGATCTGCTTGGACTCCTGCTAAACCTTTACAGTGGTATCAGAGTGATTCTCATTCAGTCCATTTTCTTTCAGACAGCCACTATTACAAACTGTCTAGGCATTAACTCTGAGTCAAGTAGTAAGGAAATCTTGGAAATATATAGAGATAAACTATAAATAATCTTCCCAACCATTTATGGAACAAATATTTATCAACTGCTCACTTTTCACCAATCCTTTGTGTTTTGATGTATATCTTCTCTTCCATCGACTACCAGCCTGAGATTCACGTTTTTCTTTGCAGACAAGGGAGGCTTAGCTCCTTCTTAATCATCTTCCCTTCTTTCTTTACTTGTCTTCTAGATCAGTGCCTCTCCAACTCTACTTTGGCTCAGCAATAATCTGGGATACTTGTTTAAAATAGAGATTTCCTGGTCACTGAAAGTGTCCATTCAGTAAATTAGTGGTGGAACCAAGGATCGTCCATTTTTATCAGATTTCCCAGGAGATGATGGTATAGGGAGACCACATATCAGCTTTACCCACCGGGAAGCATAGCCCAGGATGAGATTCAAACTCTTTCCTTGTCTCATGTCTTAGCCCTCCTTTTCTCCCTGGCCATGTGTCTGGTCATCCTTGAGGGCCTCACCTTCCCTCCCTCACATGCACACTCTTGGCCATTGTGAGTGTTCAGCATGCAGCCCCACATAGTGAAGTTCTCCCTTGTGTCTGGGCCTTTGCTTGTATCATTCTTTCCCTCCAACCCCAGTGTGGCTAAATCACACCCTTCCCACCTTAAACCTCACTCTTCAGTGCGGCTTCTCTGATGCCCGCATCTGAATAAGCTGTTCTTTGTGTGTGTCAGAGCATCCTGAATTTCTGTATGAAAGAATTTACTGCACCCTGCTGTGTGTTGGTTTGCAGAAATGCCCTAGCAGACCACAGGACCTGCTCCATGGGGGGCGTGGCTCTGTCCGCCCAGCAACCCCAGTGCCTCTCACTGCTCCACACACAGGCTGCAGTGTGCCTCTGTTGACAGGATGATGGTGGTCTCTGCCTTTCAGCATTCACAGTTGTCTACATGAAGCCTCGTAGTGCTCCCTGGTTTGATCATTATCTGGAGACCCAGCCTGGTGGAAGGAGATTTCCAAAAAAGATCATTAAAGCTCTGTACCCGGTCAGTGGATCCAGCCCATGGGCCCCCAGAGAAGGTGCACAGTGGGTCAGAAGGGCCATGATCCAGACCACGCTCCTGCCTGCCGTGGGCAGGTTTTGCTGTGCAAGGGAAATCACCTCTTAGTCGCTGATGTTACATCTGAAAGGTCAGCTTTTTTGCTCAGACATCAAAATGGACAGAGAGGCAGTAAGAGAAGGACAAAACAATGAACATGAAAAGCCGAGAAGACTGTGAAAGGGCAGAGATGATGCTGATGAGAAATGGCAGCTGCCCGGCTCAGGAGAGCTCAGAGTCAGTGCCGGGGCTCGGCAGCTGTTGCAGTTTGGAAGCTGCACTGGTGGAAGGGAGCAGAAGGTGCCCTGGCAGTGAGGACGGTGAGGGCTGCCAGCAGATCAAGTGAGAAATTAGCACAGCTTTGCTCTTCAAGAGTAGTGAGCGGGGTGCAAGCAGTACCTGCGTCTCAGCTATGCTCCACGGTGCCGAAAACCACAACAGAACGGAGCTCCCTGTGTGTATGTGGCTCTTTTAGCGTCAGTGCCAGAGTTGTGTGAGTGCGTAAGCCTTCCACCCTCTCCTCCTGTTCTCTCAAACCCACTCCAGTCGGCCCTTCATCCCCACAGCTCTTGCCAGGATCCCCAGAGCTCTCCACATTGCCCGCTTCAGTTGTCAGTAATCTTGACCCCTTAGCGGCCCAGCCTTTGTCCTTCCTCCTTACTGAACTATATGTTCTGATGTGGCTGCCAGGATGTGCACTCCCGGTCTTTCCGCTCCATGCCTGGCCAACACCTTGCATTCTCTTCTGCCTCGTGCCTGCCTTCTCAGTGAGTCTTAAACATGGGTGTGCTCCTCCTCTCCACCGCACGTGTGTACGCCGGATCATCCTATGCAGTCTCCTGGCAAAGAATACCAGCTGTCACCTGAGGACTCCCAGACCTTCTCTGCAGCTCCAGGGCCCCCTGAACTCCAGCTCATAGGTCCCACAGCCCAATAGACATTGCCTGGCTGGCTCATAGCTACGTCAGGTTCACAGAGGGATCAAAACCTCCATTCATCCCCTTCAAAACACTCCTCCTCTCTCCAAGCACGCTTACTTTGTCGTTCCTGCGGCGGTCTGAGGCAGCTCTGGACGTCCTCTTTCATGTCTTCAGTGGCGCTGTCGCGGCTGCCTCGATGTCCTACATCAATTCAAAAACATCACTTACCTCCTGTGGTTATTTTGACGGTGGGGACGAGCCCCAAGTCACATCGTGCCAGATGTGGACACACCGTCGTGTTTTTATTTGGCTGAAATTGCTGTTGCATTTTGAATCCGATCAGGACATTGAGGCAACCGTGACAGCATTAACTAATAGCAGTATAGGAAAAGGACTTCCAGAGCTGCTTCAGAAAGTGGCAAAAACGATGGGATAAGTGTGTTTGAAGCAAGGGCGAGGATTTCGTGGGAGATTAAATGGCAACATGTCTCTTAACTGCAGTAATTCTTTTAAACGTCATTCGTAATTTTTGATCTCACCTCATACAAATGTCCTAAAGAACTTGGTTTTCTACCCCACTAAACCTATTCTTCCTCTGTTCACTGGATTGCGCAGGTCAAAAATATTGGTGTCTTTCTTGACTCTTCGCTCACAGGAACCTGTCAAGTTGCCTTCCACAGCGCACCCTTATTCTTGTCTTTCCACTTCGTGTCAGTGTCTCTAACTGGCCTCCTTGACTCTACTTTCATCCCACAGGGTCTCTCCTCCCCACAGCAGCCGAACTGATTTTTCAAAAATCATAAATCTGGTCACAGGAGGGATGCAAAAAACATCACAGCACCCTCAGCGGTTTCCATCACACTTGCATATTTGAATCCAGAGTTTTCACTGTAGCCTCCATGGCCCCAGAAGATCTGGCCCCTGGCCACCCCACCACCCTCAGGGTACCACTTCCTTCCCAGCCACTGCTTGTCTCGGGGTGTTCTTCCGGCCACCGAGCTTACTCCTCCCCTGGGACCTGGGACTGTTGCTCCTGCCTCTGCTCGAAGAAGGCG